ATATATATATATACATCGACTGCTCATACACGGCGTTCAGTTCTACAGACGTGTACGTACCATTCAACATAATTGACCAACTCGTCATGACATACGTTCATCTCGTGATGAGTGATTCCTTTGAATACAAGATACGAAAACTGACGAATCTTCTCACTTGATTCCTTTTCTGATTCGAGTAATCTTTTATTGCATAACAGAGGGTATTGTTTACGCCGACACCATCAATTAAATCCAGATGCTGGTCATTCCCGTTCAACCCGTCGGTTGAGTGTACTGCAATTCGTGAAACACGTGAACCGTCTCGGTTTCGCGCTCGCTGATCTCCGCGAGGAAGGGTTGTGAATACGATAGTGATGGGAGAATCCAAATTCCCGAATAAGCAAATAGATCCGTCGCCGAGCTTTGATTTTTAAATGGGATAGAACTCATGTCACGTTCTTCAATGACACACGGAACTTAAATAGTATCGTTTTCACTTCTGATGCTTACGTGTTCATTGAACTTCAGCTTTCTCCGAAATTCCTTAGTCTCCATCACCTGGTACATAAATGAAATTTGTATTTGCACTATAGATAACTTATGCAGGCAACTGTGCCTAGATTTCAGTCAAAAAGATGTTCACCGTTAAAATGGGATAGAAAAATGAAATGAAAATTCGTATACAACAGTGATAAAACTAAATAGGTGTTCATCTTTGTCGATTTAAGATTAGTTCGTTACGGATCCTCACCGTGTCAGTGAGAATACGAGCCAGATAGGGAACCGTTGAGTTGCGAAAAATGTTTATGCGGGAGGGTAAGCAACGAAAATTGGATCGGGTTGAAGCAAGCATATAAATCGGGGTTGAGTGGATGACTGGGGTCATTGAGTATCTTATGAGCAAAATTCTCACATGAGGTGATATGCAAATTACACAATTTTGTGATCATAGTGTTTAAAGGTATAAGGGAAAGACGGCTGATAATTACCACACCGCGACGTACAGTAATGAAATCCTTTTTAAGTAGTCCAGGGAAAATAACGGGCGAACAATAAAATATGCCAGGAAAAATGCATTGATAAACAAAGGAACATACAGTTTCATGCCCGACGCGAAATTGTCGTACCTTGCCTATTTGAAAAGATAAGCGACGCAGTCTACCAGCACAAGCAAGCACATGGGAGGACCATCGTAGATTGCTGTTTATGGTGACTCCTAGGTATTTGGTGGTATGTGTTCTTGTGACGGGTGCGGAGTTGATGACTGAGGGTTCCAAGGGATAATCGGATCGGAAAAGACTAAAGATTCATTGGAAGCATTTAGAAGTATCCAACTGGAGACCGTATTGAATCGAGAATGATTGCACTTGTAGTAAACTGTCCCATTGGTTTAAAATAGCTTGACATAAGACAACATCATCTTCGTGCTTAAAGGTCTTAGCTGGTGGGATTGAGGTCAAGTCACTGATGAAAGTTGAAAATAAGACGGGAGAGAGCACAGTAGCCTGAAGGATTCCAGAATTATTCACTAACGGTTTTGAACTAGTGCGTTTGCCTTCGTTCTTTGATTCCTTACTATGAAGTAATCTTGCAGCCATGACAAGTTGGTGGGGCAACTGAATGAGTATAACCTTTGCAGAAGACTAGATCCTGGAATGGAATCGAAAACGGAAGAGTGGTCAAGGAAAACACAACGGACCGACTTTTAAGAATCATCTAAAGATTTGCGAATACCAATTCATCATGTGATTTCGCTTCCGATTATTGCTATCAATCCTTCCATCCGTTACCTCGCCCCCCACCACCCTTCCTATACTGTCCTCAATCTGTCCGTGGTCAGTGTGGTCCGTGCGGAGGCTGACCATTTCACCATCGCGTTCACAGACTCGCAAGGTGTGGTCTATTGCATGAGCACAGGCAGTCCGGATGGGGATTTGCAGGCCGAGCTGATTCGCACCTACATGCATGTGAGCGAGTTTGCGATCCCGTTAGCCACACTGTTCCGAAAGTTTGCCAAAGTAAGTGATTCTTCTCTGTCGTTTGTCCGTCCATTTCATTCATTCACTTCATCGGTGTTTATTTGACCCCCTATGGCAATTACTTTATTTGCACAAGCAAAACCGCCTATGGACACTTACGTACGTGCATATCACTGAATTATGTAATTATGTAGGCTTACCGTTCTTGCGACTCCATTTTCACCCAAAGCTCAGGTCATTCAGTCAACCGTGCACTGATGTACCAATAGGCTGGGGTATCGTTCTTGTAAGAGCCTTATCTGTGGTAGAAATCTCAGACCTCCTTCGTAGAAGGTGTACATCACCACTACACTAACTATCCGCGTTGCCTAATTTAGTCGTCTCAGATGTTAAGCGAAATTGAGTTTTGCGCATGAATATGACATCTGATTGGCTGATTGATCGGTCGGTTTGTATCACTAATGTTAGTTGTCTAACAACACTACTTGCAAGTAATTGCGTGTCTAATCGTGATTGAACTCACCGTGTACAGATTTCAAGGAAACTGAACATAAATGCATCTGTTTCTAGCCTGTTCGGTATCAACAATGCGAATCCCACGAATCAATGACTAAGGAATTTGGGGTGGCACAGTTCGGATGTCTATTTTGCTTCACACACAACCAACGAGGAATTGTTCAACCCGATTGGCCCAATCTATATACAATATAGTAAATCCTTTCGTTGTTGTCCAATTGTGATTTATTTTTTCTCATATCAAAATTTTTATAATTATTCTACTTTTTAATTTAATTGACCACCACCTTGCAGGTTATATCTCTTAGCGTCTCTGGCCAGTGACAATCCTAGCCCCTTGGGCCTCAACCTGGAAGTTGGGTTGCACCAACTGAATCCAAAGCTGAAGCTAGCTTCTTCACACCTCAACACCGTGTCGTGGTCCGGTCACCGCGACGCTTCTCCCAGCCCCGCCCAGCACATGCAAATGGAGCACGGAAATGTAGACGATAATCAGGCATATGCAGAGCGTGACCAAGCTACCACAGGCGGTGTGTAGTGGTTACTTTTGGAGAACGACTATCCGCACTCATGACACGACGACGAACCTCGTCATTGCTTACCCGAGGTTTCCAGTAGACATCGGTGGTCCAATAATGAATGTCCATAATGATCTTCCGCTCGGAGAGGCTAGGTAAAGTAGAACATTACGAACCACGACGATGTACACGTTTCCCTTAAAGGAAATTCGTTTGTCATAGCGGTGCCATGGGTGTCGCAGGTTGGCAAAAGCTGATCTAAATTTCTCGATGTGCTCTCCACCCCAACACCACCACCATCCCGAGGTATTTAATGTTCTCAACTACTTCTAGCTGAGTACGGGCNCCAGTCTTGCACCACATTAACTATGTCTATACACCTCTTTGGCCAAGTGGTTTCAAGAGTGTTGAACTGCCTGTGTATTGTTCCTCAACAAAGCGATGTCATCGGCGTATTCTAAGTCAAGAACGCTGTTCCCTGGGAGAGGTTTGACGCTACCGTTTGCTAGACCGGACAGATCATGCCTTTGAACATTCTCCATGGCAATGTTAAGGAAAAATGAAAATATAGGGCAGCAGTACCGCACTCTGCTTGAGACTTCCTTGTAAAAAGGAAAACAACAACAACAAAAACGGAAAAGATCCTGCGTTAAAAAAGAACGGAGAAAAACCATCAGTGTTTCGCTGTTACGATTTTTCGTAGACTACAAACAACCATTTTTCCGCTGCATTCGATACCCCTTTTTAATTTTCCATCGACTGTAGTACTCTTTTGTGATTTTGCTTTGAGTTTTGCACTCTACATGCCCTGATTCTATGTTGGTCCACGCACTGTCGGCATCCGGTTTCTACGAGTTACTAGAGCGATGACGAGTCACTGCAGTCCGTCTTTCCTTTCTTGGCATCGTACATCGCCATGAATTCATTGACTCAAAATCTGTTCTCAGTTTTTTCGTACACGCGTAACACCCACTAGGGTAACGAAAGGCTTCGATTTTATCGTGGAACTAGTCTCTGACGACATGTCGACAGCTTATCAAAGTTTTCAGTCATTTTACTTGATTGCGCATTTTTGTTGGTATAATTATTTTTTTAGTATCATAGAGAACAATGAAACAATGATTTCCACTAAATTCTACTCTTAATGACTTCCACGTTCAAAAATCGCTCCCCGCTTGTTGTCTTCATGACGCGGATATTTATGTGATCTTATCGTGTACCCTCGCTCTCTCTATATCATTTCTTTTCGGCTCTTTTTTGCACACAGCTTAGTTTTCTGGATCTCCCGATGAACTGGACATTCTCCCCACCAGTTTTGTCGATTCTGGTGATTTTCTATTTGCAACACTGCACCCCACCACAACTGCCCAATTTGCAAGCCCTATACCAGGCACATCAGTCCGAACTACCCCCGGGGTCATTTCGAAAGGTACACGATCGATCTGTTCTTTTTCCACTAGCGATTCGTGTTTACGTACGTTCCCTGATCAACTTCCCGCATATTACGAGAAACACATCAGCGCATATTCCTCATTTCAGGTTTACTTCAACGAAGAAGATCTCTCCTTTCTGACTGATGTATCCTTGATCAAGCAGTACTGGAACTCTGACTTAAGTAAGTACTTTTGTTATTTCAATTAACACTGGCGCATGCACGAGATCAGGGTATATGAATTGATCTTAGTGTTTGGTTCTCATTCCTCATTGCTCCCTCCCTCGCTTACACTTTTTATTTCTGACGAAGTTGTTTGCGTAGCTATTGTTTACGCGGATGTGTTAATATTGTCGGCTTCCGTCAACCATTCTCGGAATTGATTGATTTGAACTGACCATTCTACCGACTTCGCCTTCACGCGCAATCCTCAGGTCAACGATTCAACCAGACACTCGAAGCGCTAGACTCGATTTTCTCTCTTACTGGACTTCTTCGGTGGTGCATATCCACCGTCCCTTCCGAGATTTGAACTCCGGACCCATCGCGTGGAAGGCATGAGCGTTACCACTGTGCCATTCTCGGAATGGTGGGATCATGCAGATCCAGTCATCGGACCATGCTGGTTCACGAAACCAGGTTCAAACTCAGTAAACGCTGTCGCACGCTGGTGCTAGAGAAAGTTGTCTTTCCTCTACTCTCTATCGTTATTCGTATCTTCACACACCCTGTGATTTGCCGGCTGTCACAGTCGAACCGGGGATCTGTGTCACGATGACATTTACTTTCATTCCATTTGGCTAACCGGTTATAGTAAACGAATCGTGGGTCCACACGACTGTCAATTTATCTTTTCTGTTATTCGTCATACAAGGATGCCATGGTCTGCTACGAGCGAAATTCTCTCTACGCCCAGTAAACAAACGCAGAAAAGCCACCAAAAACGGATGCCCAAGACGCAATGTCAGCAACAGTTGCAAATCGGCCCTCGAAGCGGAACTATCAGACTGCCTCTCAGTTCAATCATCAGCCGGAGCACTCAGAGAGCACTGGTCGGCAATCAAGGAGGCG